TGCGCCACCACGCCGTCGCCAGCGACTGGGTCCACCAGCTGCGGCATCAGGACGGCCTGGTCGATCTGCCGATCTGCTGGAGCCAACGAAGCTTTGCTTTTGGCTGAGGCCGCCAGCTCCTCCTCAGCTGTGACCACGGCGCCGAGCTGCAGGTAGTCCATCTGCACCCCGTCGATGCTGCCAGGCCCGCCGCCCTGTCGGTGCGGGTCGTCTGCCGCCTTGGCGGGCGCGCACTTGTCGCGCCAACCTCGCGGTGGGAGGTGAGCAAGCGCGTGCTTGTCGATCTCCTCCCGGCTGGGGAGCGGTGGCGCCCGCTTCGCCCTCGCTGGCACCCCGTCGGGCTCCGCCTCTGCCAGCGGCGCCTCCTCGTGTTGCGGCTGCTCGGCCGCCGCGGGAGCTGCTGCCACGGGCGCCTCGGCCCCGACTGGGTTGAGCCGTAGCGTCTCGGACGCCGTCGCGGCGCTTCCCGCGACGCGCCCTCGCACCCAGAACAGGTTGTCCTGCCGCGCCAGAGGCGCGTTGGCGATGCCCTCAGGTAGGCTGAGCGCCGCGGGCGCGATGTACGAGCCCGTCGGTGAGAACAGCACAGAGTGGCCGTTGTCGCATGCCTCGGCTACCTCCATGATGGGATGCGAGACGTCGGCGACCTGGTAGTCGATGCCCACTCCGTGCACGTCTGAGTTGTCCAGCAGGTTGTACTGCACGCTCTTCTCGCCGTGGTGCTTCGCGCGCCTGTCGTCTGCGGCGCGGATGTCGTAGACCTGCGCAGGCTCGCGCGTCGCCGCGCTCGGGGCGTGGCCGAGTGGGCGCGTCGCTCTGGAGGCCCCCGGGTCCACCATGATGTACCCCTCGAAGCTCTCGTCGTCGCCTCCTGAGCCGCCGCCCGCTGGAGCTCGCAGCATCAAGACCCGACTCACTGGATCCGCGGCCTGGCCGCCAGGCGCAGCGCCCACTGGATGGCGGACGCGGTGTCTCCCGCGGCCTCGCCACCCGCTGAGCTGGCGCTGCCGCCGCTCGGAGCGGCCATCGAGCTCGCCGTCGACAGCTGCGCGGCATTTGCCCGCCCCTGGGTGGCGCTGTTCTGCGCCGCGGAAGGCGCGCTCGATGCTGTTGAGCTCGTCGCAGGCGTAAGTAGCTGAACCAAGTTCAGCATGTCCTTCAACGCGATCGTCTTGCTGGCTGTGCTGTTCACTGTCGTAGTCTGGTCAGGGCAGTCTCTCGCCATATGGCCCTTCTGATGGCGCCACCTGCACGTCCGTGTCTCGACGCGCTGTCCATCATTGCCATCTCTGCCCTTGCCGTCCTTCTGCGTCTGGTGCTGCGATCGGGAGTCCCTCTTTCCGTCGTAAGGCTTCCGTATACCTTCTCGCCGCCGTCTCTCCCTTTGCTCTTCCCCTTCCCCTTGCCCTTCTTGATTGCGTTTGCGACCATCGTCACCCCGGCTGGCGCCGTCCCTCCTGCTGCCAACGTCGTCTTTAGGGGCCCGATGTCCATCGCTGGTCCGCTGTCGCCCACCGCGGTGGCCCTTGCTGCGGTGCCTCTTGCCGCGTCCTTGAACGTCTTTCTTTCCTGTTCGTTAGGTGCGTCTTCGCGAGCCTGGCGATCCCGTCGTAGTCCCCGAGGCGGTCGGCGTTGACCATCAGCCACTGCTGAAGGTCTGTCCTGTATCCCCGCTATGAGGATCGCCGCCTTGATGTCGCTGGGCACCGCGCTGCCGCACCGCTCGCGCGCCTGGGCCGCCACGTCGAACTCGTTCATGTCCGTCTCGATCGTCACCGCTCCGAACGTCCACCCCGTCAGCTTCCTCATCCGTCCCAGAGCTGACGCTGGCTGGTCGGGCTCGAACTCCTCCGCGAGCTTGCGCCACGCCGACAGTCCTTCGCCCTTTGGAATCGGCCGCTGCATGGCGAACGCCTTACCCTCGAGGAGCAGCGCGAGCATGTGGTGCAGCTGCCGCGACGCGCCGACGAGCGCTGGGTTCATCAGGTCCAAAGCCTCGTTGGTGACGTCTGCTTCGGCCTTCTGCCCGACCGCGATCATCTCCTGATGCAGCTCGTCGTCCAGCGTCGCCATGTACGCCGGCAGCTTGAACGACCACGCGGGCCACGCCGCCTCGCTGTCCTTGAACTGGGGTGGCCTCGTCAGCAGCTTCGTGTCGATGATGTCCCACTTCCGACGATCCTCGCTCCTCGCTGGCGCTGGGCTCGCCGCCGCGGTGCTCCCCGCGGTGGTCAGCTGTTGGAGCGCCTGCTGAAGCTGCTGAATCTGGGCATTCTGCTGTCTGGCTGTCGTCTCTGCTCGCGCCTCCAACTCCTGGGCTCGCTTTTCTGCAGCTTCCGTTCGAGCCGTCACCGTCGGTGGCGCATCCAGAACCTGCCGGGCCGTCGGCGGCTGCTGCGGCGGCAAGGCTCCTGCTGCAGCTGCGGCCGCGGCTGCGGGGTCGCCCGCTGCCTGCTGCGCCGCTGCTGCTCGCAGCTCCTCCTCCATCCCTGAACCTCCGCGCTACGAAGCCCGCGTGGGCCTCGCTCTCCTGGGGTATGAAAGACTTGCCGTCCTCGTCCACGACGTCGAGCGGCCACGCGTGACAAAGATCCTCGTCGAAGACGACGTCCCCGAACACGCGGTGCGTGAACGTTGGCAGGTTGAGCTCACGCCCGACGATCTTCTCGACGAGGCTCAGCGCCGACTCCAGTAGCCTGCAGGCGTCTCCGCGTCGCTGCCGTCGCCAGGCGGCGTCCTCCGACCGCCGCCCGCGCTGCTGCTTCTGCTTCTTCCGCCCCGTCGCTGCCGCGCCCGCCGAGGCTCCTGCCTCGGCCTGCAAAGGGTCTGGGCTGCTTTCCGCGCGCATTCCGCGGTGCTTCCCGCTGGGCCGCTGGGCCGAGCTGCTGCCTTCCGCGGCCCGCGGAGGTCCCCGCTGGACTGCTAGGCTGGGCGGCTGCCCCTCGCAGCCCGCGGTGCTTCCCGCTGGGCTGCTGGGCCGCACCTCCGACGCAGAATCCGTGGATCTCAGGCCGCGGGCTCCGCTGCTATGCGCGGCGCCCCCCACGGAGCCGCGCTCCTTTTCGAGCCGAGAGGGCTGCGGTACATCACATCCCAAAGCTATCTTCATAGCTGGCAAGAAACCGAGCATCCAGCACCTGAGCCATAATCCCACATAGCCCTAGCCATAACACTCTACTACCGCAGTAACCCTGACACCCTAAGCCTGACCACTAACCCGAACCCTAACAACCGAACCCTAATACCCCAACCCTATGACCAGAACCCTAGCATCTGAACCGTCAGCACGAACCTTACCCCTTACACCCTGATCCGAAACCCTAGCCCGAACTCCCTGACCGTATTCCTGAAACCGGGAAATTTTCACCCTGAGCACCCTAGCCCCAACACCCCAACAGCCTAACCCAAACACCCCAGCCCTAACACCCTGACCCTAACACTCGACCCCTCCAACACAGCACTATGCGCCAGAGCGCGACCTCCACTCTTCCCCCGCCGAGGTGGGGAGAGGGAGGGGGGAAGGGGGGTCAAACCGCCTCCCCCCTCTCTGGCGCAAGGGGGGGGAGGGTGGGGGTGGGTCAAGACGCCCTCCCCGCCCGCAAGCCGTCTCGCTCACTCCCACCCGCCCTCCCAACACATACGTAGCACCCGAGTCTGGCCCGAGCGTCAGCATATTCAGCAGTCGTCTTTGGATGGGCAGCTACTGGGGCCCAATCCGCCGCCGCCGCCGCCTCCGCCGCCGCCGCCGCCGCGCAGCCGCAGCCGCCGCCGCCGCCGCGCCGCCGTCGCCGCCGCTGCCCGCCGCCGCCGCGCCGCGCCGCCGCCGCCGCGCCGCCGCCGCGCCGCTCCGCCCGCCGCCGCCGCCGCCGCCCCCCCCGCTGCAAATCGCCGCCGCCGCAGCCGGTGCCGCCGCAGCCGCTGCCGCCACCGCCACCGCCGCCGCCGCCGCCACCGCCGCCGCCGCGCCGCCGTCGCAGCCGCCGCCGCCGCCGCCGTCCCCGCCGCCGCCGCCACCACCGCCGCCGCCGCAGCCGCCGCAGCCGCCGCCGCCGCCGCAGCCGCCGCCTCTGCCGCCTTCGCCGCCGCCAAGTGTACTCTGTATTGCTTTTTGACAGCGATGGTGGGGGGAGGCCGCATCGGGTTGGCTGCGCATGCTCCGAATTTGGAGACGGAGTGTGTTTTTATATGGCTTTTTACAAGGGATGGTGGGAAGGGGGGCCCCAGTCGCCTGGGGGAGGGGGTGTTTATTAATAGGGAATAGTGATCAACCTCCCCCTCCTATGAGGGGGGGGACATGTCCCCTTGAAAGAAGGGAGAGGGGGGTTCGTTCGTTAGCACCCCCACTCGTTTTGCTGTTTTTGCGATTGATGGGCGACCAGTGGTGCTCTTCCCCAGGTAGGCCTCCAGAAACGGTCTCCGAAGGCGCCCGACGGCCCGAGAGCACCCCAAGACGGCCCAAGAGTCCCAAGGTGGCCCAAGAGAGCCCACAGGGCCCGCCACGAAGACCCAAAGGGTCCAAAAAGAGCTCCAAGATGCCCAGAGGGCCCCTGCCCTAGTGTTTCCCTGTGGTCTTCCCATGTGCTGGGGGAACACGCAGTCTACTGACATGGCCGCATCTTTGTTCGACATCGCACGCAGGCGCTTCCAGACGATATCAATACACATTCATTGGCCCGCGTGACGGCGTGTATGGAAGGGCTCTACCGCCCACCGTGGCTCCCAGCGCTCCAGATCTTGTAATCGCTGCTGAACGCAACGGCTGCGAAATCGCAAACTGCATGTTAAAGCTCCCCGACTGCTGGCTGTACATAACTGTAGCAGTATATCGGAGTCCTTGTCGGCAACGTAAAACAATCGTGGCACATCTGGAAAACAACTCACTTATCTACATTCTCGGGAGCATGAGTCTCAGTAAGAGGGGGAAACAGCAAGGGAGGTATCAGGACAACAGCTGTAGCAGGCAACGGAGGCCAGAGGTTGCAGGGCCTTGCCGGCTTCGTTAAAAGTGCCCGCGCAATCTGCAAACAATTCGGCCAACGTTCCCAATACGTTTATATCCAAAGCCCACACTGGCCCGAGAACCCCTGGATGGCACAACGCACTGGCTCTCGTCGAGCTGTCCTGGGCGACATTCACTCCCCAAAGCACCGTCAACGCAAAGGTTGGCGCTTCGTCTGCTCGCGCAGTACCTCTTTTTCGAATTTGGCCCTTAGGGTTCCAGACCTGTTTATCTTCACTCATTACTGTCACCACTTAGTTGACGCCGTTGCAGTTGCAAGAGATGGTGCTGCTAGGCGTCAACGCTGGATTGTTGCAGTGCAAGACTTTCTTTTGTCCGGCGCCATCTTGTCATTCTGGCAAAGACATCGGGATGCATCTCTGCAACGCTGCTGCACTCGCAAGCTCAATGGACAAGACCATTGCCACCCAAAACATCATTGTGTTGGGACCCCGGAAAATCGGTCAGGAGGGGGATGAAGCCAAATCCGCCTCCACGGTCCCACGGCCCGAAAACGCCTCCCATGGCGGCAGAAAACGACGAACAAACCTTCTCGAACCCAGACCCTGCCCCCAGCCAGCTCCAAATTCTCACACATCTGCGCAGCAATCATCTCCTACATGTCCGTCGCCGTGGCGCAGGCACTGAGTCGGGTGTCCTCGGGCCCCCCTCATGGAGGCACCTGGCCCGCCTCGGGCCCTTCTGCGGCCTCTCCTGGGGCCATGCTGAAGCATTGGGAGCTTTGCGGAAGCCAGAAAGCGATGAGGCCAACATCACTTCAAACACAGCCGCTTCTTCAAACATATTTCGTTGGTCTCTCGAGGTCATCCTGGGGAGGCTGCGTGGCCCTCTCGGGCCATGTTGTGGCGGTTTGGGAGCCTTTGTGAGGCCTAGTGGAGGTCGACTTGGACCATCGTGTACATTTTGTTGTTTTTACTGTTGCTTAGTTGTTTGTTTGTTTGTTGATTTGGTCTTCTACACGATGAAACGTGCAAGCCCGAAGCGCAGGTGTGGCGCCGTCAGGGCCGACCTGCAGGACGCTGAAACGGTCGACCGATGCGGCATCTTAACACGCACGGCCGACGAGTTGAGCGAGAGAGAGAGAGAGAGAGAGAGAGAGAGAGAGCAAAGGCGATGAGCTGAGATAGGACGAGGAGGAGCTGGCTACGGTCCGCCACCTGGCTACTGCCGTCAAAGCGTACGATTTCCGAGCGCAACTGACCCTTCTCTGATTCGGCGCTTCGGCATTGGGCGGAAGGGGGGGGAGGAGGGGGGGTCTGGCTCTGGACCAATGCTCAGCGCGACTGTTTGCAACAGCGCGCCCTATGGGGGAGACTCCACCTGCTTGACACAGGCGCCACAAACAGCCAAGACCTACTCCAGGGGCGGGGCGGAGGGGGTGCGAGGGCCCGCGCCCATCGGCGAAACAGTGAATAAGAAAAGTGTCACAATGTGAGGCGATGTCTCGGCTCCGCTGACTCGCTGGTGTTACCGTGGAGCTGCCCAGGCACCCCGCCTGCAGCAGTGACGGGTGGATTCGCTCGGTTCTTCGTCATGCCCCTCCTCGTCGTCCTCTCATCCTTTCTCGCTCGTCTTGATGGCAATCTTGGAGACCGCCTCGACTTGTCTTGCCTTGCCGAGGCCAAGGCCAGTGCCTCCCTCGCCGGTGCTGTGGCCGAGGGGCGGCTGGAGGGGTTGGCCCGTCCGATTCGGGAAAGCTCACGTCGCAACTCTTCCCCCCCTGCCTGTAGCTGGCAAGCTAGCGCGGTGGCCGCCGCTGGCCCATCGCTGAGAAAAGGACGAGACACAGATGAATATCCTTGTTGGGCGGAGCCTCGAACTTGAGGGCTAGGGGGAGCCTCTTGACACTTTGTTGAAACTCTTTTGGGGTGCTCTTGAGACCCTGTCTGGGCTCTGTTTGGGCCCCGTCGGGGCTCTGCTGGGGTTTCGTGGAGCCTGATGAGGTGGCCTCTTCGGGCCGTTTTGCGAACAGCGTGCGGTCAACAAGTGCAGGTGGTCCTGTTGGCCGTTTCGCAATTGCGAGCTGTCATGGGGTCCTCTTGAGGCGCTCCTGAGGCCCTCATTTGGTCATCCGAGCCCATCTTGTGCCCATTCCTGGGCCCTTCTGGGGCCTCTCTTGATTGATCCACACTCAAGCCTTGAGAGCATCTCATGTGGCGATCTGGATGCTTTTTGGAGGAGTAGTGCAAGCCCTCTTCGACCATCGCGTGCCATCTTGGTGGCTACCTTGGAGACCGCCTCGCCTTGTCATGCCTTGCCGAGGCCAAGTGGGGGCCTCACACGCCGGTGCTGTGGCCGAGGGTCGGTTAGATGGGTTGACCCTTCCTATTGCAGGGAATCCACCTCGCAACACTTTCCCCCCTCGCCTGACCACGGGCTCGGGGCCGCCTTGGGGCCTTTTAGGGTCGTCCTGGGGCTCTCTTGGACAGGCTCTCTTGGACAGGCTTGGGGCCCTCTTTGGCCGTCTCAGGGCACTCGTGCGGATCTTGTGGGTCGTCTTGGGGCGATCTTGAGCCTCTTGGCCGTCTTGGAGGCCACCCTAGACCGTCTGGGAAGTCGTCTTGGCCGTCTTGGAACCGCTCACACGCCAATCCCGTGGACTGGGGCCGATTGCAGGAGTTGACACGTGCCATTACGGGAGGTCCATCCTCTGAGGTCTGGACTGAGATTTCGGGACCCAAGATTGGCATGACAGGCTCCAGCATGATACCACATACGGCAAGATGGCCTCCAATAGTGCATGAGAGGGCCCAAGCTGGCCCGAGATGGTGTCTTCTATGCCCCCGAGAGCCCCTCAGATAGTCTAGGGACCCCGATTGGCCAAGGAGCCTGATGAGGATGTCGCCGAGATGCCCAACTCCTTTAAAGCCAAAAACTTTAGCCAGTGTGAGCCCCAGACAGTGACTTACTGCACTGTGGAGGTTGAACATCTGCGGAATAAGCCATGTGGTGGTAGCTACGTGGTGTCAGCTATGTAGTGCAAGATACGTGGTGTGAGCCTTGCTGTATGAGCTATGGAGTGTGAGCTCAGCCGCCTAAGCTGTGCGGTTTGACCTATGTGGTGTGAGCCGTGCAAGCCAGGGAGGAGGAGGAGGAGGAGGAGGAGGAGGAGGAGGAGGAGAGGGGAGGAGGATGAGAGGAGAGGGGGAGGGAGGAGGAGGAGAAGGAGGAGGAGGAGGAGGAGGAGGAGAGGAGGAGGAGGGGGAGGAGGAGGAGGAGGAGGAGAGGGAGGAGGAGGAGGAGGGGGAGGGGAGAGGGGGAGGGTGTGCGGCGTGAGCCACGCTGTATTCGGCTCTCTGCGCGCCCGCCCGAGGCACGGAGCGCCCACCCGCGCCCACGAGGCGCCCACGGGCGGCCCCACCCGAGGGCCCGCGGGCGCCCGCGGGCGCCCGCGCGCCCCCCGGCGGGCGGGCACGGGGCGCCCGCGGGGCGCCCGCGGGGCGCGCTCGCTGGCGGGCGCGGGGCGCCGACGGGGCGACACCTCGGCGGGCCCGCCCCGGGCAGGGGGCGCCCGCGAGCGCCCGCGAGGCGCCCACGGGTAGGAAGGCACCAACTATACACCAACACCGATCCTGGCCAGGATCACCCTGGGCCCAGGATCGGTGTATACGCCCTCCTGCCTTGCGCAAGAAGGTATATACACCGATCCTGGGCCCAGGGTGATCCTGGGCCAGGATCGGTGTTGGTGTATAGTTGGTGCCCTCCGAACGGGCGGGCAACGGGGGGGGGGGCGGCGTGGAGCATCCTCGGCGCACCCGTCCAGCTGCGCAAGGCAGACAGGCAAGGACCCCACGTGCGAGCACCGTTTGGGGTTCAGCTGGTTTCCGCCCTCCCTCGCTGCTCGCGTCGGGCTGGCTTGGGGAGCCCCGGGATGGCTCCCAGATGGTCCAGTAAAGCTGCAGGGAAAGTCCAGGGAAGCCCCAAGAGAACCACGAAGGCCCCCAAGAACACCGCAACATCGTCTCAAGAAAACTCTCAGATGCGATTTGACGTTCTTCCACCCGAGGGCTCTTCTCTGGCCGATGGCCTCCGGGATGGACGCACGATGCTCAACAACAAGATGCCTGAGTCTTGGTGATGAGGAGAGACCCAACACCCAGAATCGTCGCAGTGCGAACGACAGCGCTGGCTCGTCTTGACAAGAGGCGGCCAGGAGGGGCCGACGCCCGGGCAGGCGACCGCGAGATGCCCTGCTGCCCCCCAAACGGCCCAAAGATGGCCCCAGGGAGCTCCAGTACGCCCTCAAGAAGGCTGACAAGTCGCCTGCGACTCGTTTCTGGATGGCCTGGCGGGGATACGTGAAGCGTGTGAGACTTGTTTCGGGGACGGGAGCATTCCTTCGTATTTGGACCACGTAGCCAACAACCGAAGAGTGGGATATACTCATCATGCCCGCTCGCAGTCACGACATTCATACGTCTGAGACTGTAGATGATCCCATTCCAGCGTGAACCGCAACCATTGAATGGGGGCCACCTGCGTGGTGCAATGCAGAGCAGCTCACAGCAATGCAAAGCACATCAAAGCAACGCAAGGTAATAGAACCAGTGCAGGGCAACGCAACTCACTTCAATGCAATGCAACGCGATGCACAACACTTCAAATCCATACAAGCGCAACCAAAGGCGAAGCACGTGCGCACATCCAATGTCCACAACACATTCCTGGCGCAACCTATGAATGCAATCGCTTTTGGGGATCTATGGGGAGCTAGGTCTCTCCGTGCCACGCATGTACGCTGTGGGATAGGGCTCCGACGCCTCCTGCTCAGGTGGAGTTTGAGTAAAGGGGAAAATGCCAGGTGGAGTTTGAGTAAAGGGGAAACTGCCCCCTGCGTGGAAGAACATGCGCGCAAACCGCGTCTTTAACCCACGACCTCAGGCATCGCACGCTGCGCTCATCGGATCCCTCTCCAAGATGCGCACAATCTCGGTGCCAATGTTGCTCATATGATAGTTCAGCATGTCCGAGAATCCCTGGTTGGCAAGGGCGGGGGGTGGGAGAAAATATATCAACACACGAGCGCACCAGGCATCACAGGTCGATCCAGATCGTGTGGACAAGGCAGACACCAACATACACTATGAGTGGCAGCAATTCCTCGGAAATCACTATTCTTGGTTTGATGCCATCTGCCCAAGCCACTCCACCACTTGGAGGTCGACTACTCCCTTCTCCTACTATGCCCGACACTGGCTGATTCTGTGCACGCGCTCCCCCAGGGACATCAGAAAGAACGGCGGTGGCGGCTCGAAGATGTAACGTAAACTGCGAATCCAATGCGCACACATGCACGCAGAACACTGTGCAGCTGGATACCAGTTGGACGCATTACCCAGCTTGTGAAAATGCTCCTGCGAGGTGCGTCCAGGGCCGCCTTTTGAGATCGAGATGTTTCACGCTACCTTAAGTATGGCCTTCAAGCCAAGCAACGTATTAATTGTGGGGTCTTCTGTCCGATTCAAGGCAGAAGCTACACCATTCTTTTGGTGGGGCGCATGCGTCCCCTCAAGCCGGTCCGCTTGCCTTTTCCCGTTTCCCCGCTGCAACAGGCTCGTCAGTGCTGCCCGCCTGGCCGGGGCCGCGCGGCGTAGGCTCTAAAGCATCGCGGGGGTGTCGCCTAGCACCGCCCGACACTCGTTTAGCCCCCCCCCCCTCCTCCTCCTCCTCCTCCTCCTCCTCCTCCTCCTCCTCCTCCTCCTCCTCCTCCTCCTCCTCCTCCTCCTCCCCCTCCCTACGGATGGGCGCTTTCCAACGGGCCCTCAACGCAATGAGGAGAGAGGTCTAGCCATGAGGGCTCCCAGGAAGAGGGTCCCCAGGCGGCCTCCCGCCAACGCGCATACGCAACCCTTGACACACTCAGACATAGACAGACACACACACAGACAGACACGCACACACAGACACAGACACAAACACACACAGACACACATGCACACGCTCACACAGAGAACAACACACACATACAAACACAGGCAGGCAGACACACACACAGACACGCGCCATACACATGCACACACAGACACGCGCCCACACACACACACACACACACGCACACACACATACACACCACGCCCGCCACGCACACACACACACACACACTCACTCCACACACACACACACACACCACGCCACACCACACCACGCACACCCACGCACACGGACGCACACACGCACACGCACGCACAGACGAGCACGCCCACGCACGCAGCCGCACACACACGCCATGCCACCCCGCACCACGCCACGCCACAGCACACCACGCCACACAACGCCACACCACACCACGCAATGCCACGACACCCCGCACCCCACGCCCCACGTCCAACGTCCAAAGCCCAACGCCCAACGCCCAACACCCAACGCCCAACGCCCAACGCCCAACGCCCAACACCCTACAGTCAACGCCCAACACTCAACGCCCAACGCCCGACACCCAACACCCTACAGCCAACACCCAGCACCCAACACCCAACACCCAGCACCCAACACCCAACACCGAACACCGAGCACCGAACACCGAACACCGAACACACACCACGCGCCACACGCACCACGCACCACACACCACACACCACAGAACACACAACACAGGACACAGAACACAGAACACATATCACATACCACGCAACACACAACACACAACGCGCAACGCACAACACACAAACAAGCGCGCACGCACACAGGAACGCACGCACTCACAAGGGCACGCGCGCACACGCGCGCCCCCACGCACGCGCAACACGCATGCGCGCGCACGCATACGCGCGCGCTCGCACGCACGCGCACGCGCGCACGCACGCGCATACACACCCACACTTTTGTTCTCGGCGCCGCACAGAAGCCCCAGGCGCGGTCGGCAAGTGGAAATGCCAACTTCGAACGGATTTAGTCGCACGCGCCGTGATGAAAGGATCCGGCCACGGCCATGCAGATTGGTGGTGGTGGTGAACAGATGAGGCGCTGTAAAGCGAAAGTGCAGCGGCCAAACATCCCGCGGAGCGTAGCTCGACGCCGGGAACTGAAGCGCAGGTAACAGTCTGGTGCTAGTTGGCGGGTAAGAGTGCAGCGGCCAAGCATCCCGCCGAGCGTAGCTCGACGCCAAGAGTTACAGCGCAGCAGCAGTCTGGTGCTAGTATCACACGCGCGCGCACGCACGCGCATGCACGCACGCGCGCACGCGCGCGCATATGCAAACACGCGCACACACACAAACACGTACACAATCAAACACAGGCACAGACACATACACATACACAGACACATACACGCGCAAACATCACGCACGCGCACGCACGCGCACGCGCGCGCACTCACATTGCCACACACGCAACACTCACGCACGCACATACAGCCATACACGCACACACACGCGCACGCGCACGCGCGCACGCACACGCACGCGCACGCGCGCATGCACGCGCGCACGTAGACGCACACGCACGCGCACGTGCACGCGCACGTGCACGCGCGCGCGCGCACTCGCACAGGCGCACGCAAACGCGTGCGCACGCGCACGCGCGCACGCACGCGCGCGCACGCGCACGCGCGCACGCACGCGCACACGCATGCGCGCACGCACGCGCAAACGCACGCGCGCACACGCGCACACACGCGCGCACATGCACGCACACGCGCGCACACACGCACCTTTTTTTACGTGCGCGAAGGAGACCAGTGGCAGGGCGAACGACGGACGAAACGACGGACGACAGACGAAAACGACAGGGCGCGCGAAGGGAGGGAGGGAGAGGGGGGGGGGGGCAGGCAGGGGTCGCCCGCGCCCAGCGCAGCCCCGCTCACGCCCCGAGCGCCGCGGCGGCCGTCGCCGCGGTGCCGCGGTCGGCGGGCGCGCGCCTGCCGCCCAGCGGCGGCGATCCCGGTCGCCGTCTGGCCCGTGAGCTCGGCGAGCTCTGGGCCCGGAAGGCGGCGGCGCAGCGCGCGGTCCAGCCACCGCTGCAGCTGGCGCCGCTTCACCTCCACCGGGCGCGGCCTGGGAGGGAGGGGGCGCGGCTCGCGGACGCCTGCCGCGTCCGCCGCCTCGACCGGGGGGGGCCCCGGGAGGATCCTCAACCTCCGCCGGGGGCGCCCCGGGAAGGAAGGGGCGCGGCTCGCGGACGCCAGCCGCGTCCGCCGCCTGGGCCGGGGGGGCCCCGGGAGGGCCCGCAACCTCCGCTGGGGGCGGCCCGGGAGGGAGGGGGTGATGCTCGAGGGTGTCGTGCGCGAGCGCGATGTCGAACTCGCCCGCGCCGAGGGCATCCGGGAGGAGCGCTGGCTTCAGTGTTCCCGGAGCCCCTCCCGCGGGCAGCGCCCGCCGCTCCGCCGCCGTCGGCAGCGCCCGATGCGCCGCTGGCAGCCAGGGGGTGCGATCGGGGGAGCTCTCCTGCCGCCGCGGGCTGCTGCAGCGCCCGGAAGCGCGCCGGCGGCCGCTCCGCCGCCGCCGCCTCATCGGCAGCGCCGGCGCAGCCTGGTGCGCTGCTGACCCCGGCCACCCGGCTCGCCGGGGGCGGAGCTGCTGGTGCCGGCCTCGAGGCGGCCCGGAAGGGGTCCATCTTCCCCGCTGCTGGAGGAGCGCCGCGCCAGTGCAAGCTCCGAAGCGTTCGCCGCGGAAACGGGAGGCGCCGCCTCGACCGTCATGCACTCCACCTCCGGCGACTCCTCAGGAGGCCCAGCCGCCGCGCCGCCGGCAGCGTCGTCGCCTCTGGCAGCGTCGGCTGGGGCGGCCGCGGCGAAAAAATCAGCGAGGATAGCTGCCGCCCCCTCGTCGGAGCGCCCCCCTCGATCTTTTCAGGGTCGCGGTGGGCCGCGTGCCCAGGGCGGGCGCGGCCGCCGCGTGCGCTCGAAGCCGAACTCCGAAAGCGTTCGCTGCCGAAAGCGCCGCCTCCCCCCCGGGCGGCCTGCGCCGTGCTCTCCTGACGGGGGGCGCGGCGGCACCTGGCGGGGAGGTGTCGCCGCCGCGGCGGCCGCGAGGCCTCTTGCCACCGGTAGCTCCCTTGGCGAAACACTTCGTCATCGCTGGTGTCCGCCCGCATGCGGCGGGGGTTCCTAGCCCAGTGCCACGCGGGGCTGGCGATCCTCGCGGGATCTGCTGTGCCGGCGCGGGGCCCGCTCAGGGAGTCCACCCGAAGAGGACTCCCTCTGGGGCCACTTCGGCCCGGTAACCTCTCAGCCCTGCGACCCGCAGAGCTGCCTCCGCAAGCGCGCGCAATTGCACGCGCGCCCCCGCGCGCGCACGCGCGCGCGCAGGCACCCGCGCGCGCTCGAGCACAAACACACGCGCGCGCGCACGCACGCGCTAACACACTACACTGCACACGCGCCCACGCGCACGCATCCGGGCGCGCGGTCCCCGCGCAGTCCCCGCGCGCACGCACGCGCGCGCGCGCGCGCGCACGCGCGCGCAGACGCGTGCCCACGCGCATACCCACACACACACACGCACACCCACGCAAATGCGCACCCACGCGCGCGCACGCACGCACATACTCATCCACGAACGCGCACGCACATTCACGCACGCGCACGCGCTCGCGCATACTCACGCGCCCACGCGCACGCGCGCGCACACGCACGCGCACGCGCACACGCGCGCACACGCGCACGCACGCACACACGCACACGCACACACACACACACACGACACGAACACACACGCGCGCACGCACGCACGCAAGCAC